GGGGCCGCCCCTCACCGCCCCGGGCGGTGGGCAGTAAGGTGGGGAGAGGCCACACCGTGGAGGGGGGCCAGGAGCAGCGGCAGTATCCGGCGTGGAACCAGGCCCGTGCGGGTGAGGGCATGTGAGCCTGGCAACAGTTTAGGAGCAGAGGCAGCTGCACCAGGAGCCCAGTGGGATTCAGGGTGTAGGGGCCTGGCTGGCCGGCCGGGGCGGCGGGGAAGGGGGTGGAGGGCAGTGCCGCCCAGGGTACAGGTGGGACTGGGTGAGCGGAGCCCCCAGCCCCCAGCCCCCCCGGCCGGCCTCCCCGCCCCCACCTCCTGCCCGCCGCCCTCTTGGGGTCTCTTCTGGATTCCATCAGGTGTCACAGCAATCTGGCTGTGACATAATGAGGCAGGCCGGGGTCAGTGGGGTGACCTCTCGTAGCCCCAATGTTTGGAAATCCCCAAATCAAAATGACCCAAAAGACGGGCTTGAGCGTAGACTTTGCAAGCGGGCCCTTCAATCACCCAAAAACACAAGTGGACAGGCCCTGTCGATTACCGCTTCCCGCAGACGGTAACGCAGCCGGGACCCCAGGACCACCGCGGCTCGGTCGGCCCACCTCTCCTGGGAGCAGGGCCCCGGAGAGCTGGCCGCCCGTGCCCCCACGGATGTGAGCAGGGCTGCCTGGGGCAGGCACCCGGGACAGAGAACAATACGTGACGGACCGCTAAAAGCAGCGTGACCCCACGCCACCCTCGGCACCCGCCACGGGTCCAGGGGCCAGGCAGCTGGCAGCACCTGGGCGGCTGGAGGGGGTCTGGCTGGAGCCGAGCCGCAGCGGGGAGGCTTGCGTGACTGGGATCCATAACTCACGTCCGGGGAGGGGGAGGCGTTGGCCGCGGCATGGGAGGGGGCTTGATGGATGGCGAGTCCCTCCCACCCCCAGGTTCAAAGTCTTGTGTGAGCAGCCTCAACAGCCATCTTGTCCTCCCTTCCAGGTGTTATTCGGAAAAAAATACATCTCAAACCACATGCTGAAAACTTCAGCATGAGAATTTAATGTCAGAAACCCCATAATCTCTTTCCCAGAGATAAGACGCAGTCCTGTGAGGAGGGGTGAACCCGATCCTTAACCCAGAGAACAGACGCTGGGCCGGAAGGCAGGGGCTGGGGCCCTGCTTGGGCTGGGGAGGGGGCTGAGAGTGGGCCCTCACAGGCCGGGTGTGCACACGGTGGGCTCACTTGAGTTTTCCTGGAAATGTTTGCTGCCGGCCGCCCTTCTGGGTGGATGGGCCTCTCTGGCGTTGGAACGGGACATTTCTGCTGCAACGGTGGCTTGGACGTCCCCGTGATGCCACGGCCTATCCCGCAGACCCTAATTTAGGCCCTGAGCCTCCTGGCCAGTGTGGAGGGCTCAGGTTGCCGACAGCTGAGCCAGGAAGGACAGCTTGGCCGGCCGTCACCGCACACGACCTTTCCGAGCAGGGTCCCGCTCCCTCCTGGCTGACGGTGCCACCCTTGGGGGACACGACGTATGCACATTTGCGCTTCCAGGTCAGGTCCGTGGGGCACACGGTCTCCCACCCAAGGCCCTGGCGCTGGGTCCACCCCAGCTGTCAGCCCCCAGGGCTGAGCCTGGGTGTGTGTGCTGGGAGTTCTGGACTGCCCTGGTCGGCCCAGGTGTCAGCCCGGTCGGGGAGGGATGGAAGATGCACGAAGGACCCCAGACCATTAGCGCTTGCCTCGGTTTGCAGACAAAACTTCTTTAGGGGGTCCCCAATGGACCCCACCTGGAACAAACTCCCCCCTCAGCCTTTGGCTAATGCCTGGACCCCTATGCCGAGGCCTCTACTCCTGGGTCACTGCTCGGGCCGGGCAGGCACCCCAGAAAAGTGGGTGGGTGCCCCTCAGGTACACGGGTGCCAGACCCCAGTTCTGGGGTTGCATTCCTGGGGGAGGGGTTGTGAGAAGGTGCCTCTCTTGGGGGCAGGGCCCCCCGGGGCTGCAGGATGCCACTGACCGCCCTCTCTCACCAGGTGACACTACTGCCCTCGTCAGGCGGCCACCCTGGGGCTCTGTCCTGGTGACCTCCCCCCGCCCCCACCCCACCCCCCGCCCCACCCTCCTCCGGATGGTCCAGGACCCTGACAGCCTGAGGGGCAGGGGTAGCTGCGGTGGGGTCACTGTCCCCGTTTAACGGAGGGAGAGGCAGATGAGCTGGGAGGGGGTTTGTCTGTGAGCCAGCGCCCCGAGAGCCCCCAGAACGTGTATTTCAAGCAGTCCAGGTCCTTCTCTTGACAAACCCGAACGTTCTGGGCCACCCTGAACCCAGGGGCCTGGCCACCTCGCCCCAGCTCCCCACCCCCGCTGCACAGGCCCCCCACACGGTGTCCTGGCTCCGGGCCGGGTGGGACAGGGCCGGGACGGGGGCGCACACGTCCCAGGGAAGGGCTGGAGCGAGGCCAGCCTGCAGGCTTCTTCCCCCAAGCTTAGCAGTGTCTCTCCGAGTGTCCCACCCCCTCGAGGGGACGACCAGGAGTCCGGGGCCCACTCTGTTTGGGGCTGTTTGTGGGCCCCTCCCAGCATTGCCATGGCAATGACACGGGGCGAGGCCGGGGAGCCATACCTCAGAGGTGACTAAGTGTGCCGTGTGCCGCCCGTTATAGCGCCCAGCGCCCCCCACCCTTGGGACGCACACGCATCGGGCCCTGGCTCCGGCCCCCCGCAAGAATGTTCCATGAGCCCCTTGGGCAAGCATGTGGCCCAGCATGCCAGGCCAAGCACGCCCGGCCGGCGCCTGCTCACCCTCCCACCCCGGGGTCACCGCCCGGCCCGGAGCCTTCCGGCCGTGTCCACCCTGCCCGTCTGGAGCCTCTTCCCCATGGCGCTCAGGTCCCAGCTTCCTGCTGCAGGGAGCTTCCTGGTTCCCTGCCTTTCTGTCCCTGCAAACAGACCCGCGGCGACTCTTGCCGTCCCGCGTCCCGCACTGCACCCTCGCACTCCGAGGTTGCTCTGCGGTCACCCATCGCCTCGGTCCCCCAGCCGCTCCCTCAGTCCGTCTCCCCGCTCTGCCCAGGGCGCGCACCCAGCACCCCAGGCGGCACAGTGCTCCCTGGTGGCGAGGAGACTCCAGGAGGGGCTCTAGGCAAGGCCAAGGCACAGCAAGCGGGGTCACCGCCCGGCCCGGAGCCTTCCGGCCGTGTCCACCCTGCCCGTCTGGAGCCTCTTCCCCATGGCGCTCAGGTCCCAGCTTCCTGCTGCAGGGAGCTTCCTGGTTCCCTGCCTTTCTGTCCCTGCAAACAGACCCGCGGCGACTCTTGCCGTCCCGCGTCCCGCACTGCACCCTCGCACTCCGAGGTTGCTCTGCGGTCACCCATCGCCTCGGTCCCCCAGCCGCTCCCTCAGTCCGTCTCCCCGCTCTGCCCAGGGCGCGCACCCAGCACCCCAGGCGGCACAGTGCTCCCTGGTGGCGAGGAGACTCCAGGAGGGGCTCTAGGCAAGGCCAAGGCCACAGCAAGCGCTCTGGAACGGCCAGTGTGGCCACGCTCCATTCCTCTCTAGGCAAGGCCAAGGCCACAGCAAGCGCTCTGGAACGGCCAGTGTGGCCACGCTCCATTCCTCTCTAGGCAAGGCCAAGGCCACAGCAAGCGCTCTGGAACGGCCAGTGTGGCCACGCTCCATTCCTCTCCTAGGGGCCTCTTGGCGGGTGGCCTTGCAGTGCCCTGGCCCTGTGGTCCGGGGACCACAGGCCAGCAGCCCCCGGAAAAGCCTGAGTTCGTGGGAGCTCGGACCCGCCATTCTGGCCAGGGTCATCTTGACTGATGTGGACAGCTGCGTCCACCTCCCGAAGCTATTTCAGTTGTAGCAGGAGTCGGGAGGGCTGGCACGCGGGGCCCCCGGCATCCAGGCGGGCAACACGATATTTTCAGATAAAGGGCCTCGCTCATCAC